TTCATGGGACATTGCTGTTACGGTATTTTACCAGAAGGGAGTAAACAGAATGAGGAAGCAAACATTATAATTCAACTTTCCTAGAAAATTCAACTTTTTCTTGAACGGTTGGCGGATCCAAGGTTATTCATTTAATGCTGCAGGGGGAGAAGAGCGGAGAAACCCATCGCAATGTCTGAAAAAAAAAAGAAGATATTTTTCACCGGGGACACGCGGCTCGAGCTCATCTTCCTAAGACCGACATTGAACTATATTCATCCACGCCCCACCCCTTGTGCCCTTATATTCGTCACGTCGTCATTTAAAGGAATGTGCATGGGCGAACATGGTAACTGCTAGATCATTCTTCAATACGTTACGGTATGGCAGTCCATTCAGGATATATCATAATTGATCAAAGTTAGATTAAAACACACAGTTTTGGAAGAATAATAGTGCTGTAAAGACATCCATGCGAATTTTTTGTTTTTGTTTTATTGTTACTCCCATAAGTTTGTTTATTCATGCGATTTAGTTTGGGTGACAAGGTTATTCAATGATTGTTCACAATTAACATTATTCCTGTAAATTAGTTACTAACCAATACATGTAGATTAGTAAGTTTCCTGTAAATTAGTAAGTATTCCTGTGTAATTTAAGTAAGTATTCCTGTAATTTGTACTAGAATACTTTCCAACCCACCCAGTATTTCTTACGATAATACGAATAGCTGTCACTTTATTCAACACCTTGTAAATTGGATTTATTGAAGAAATATGATAAAATCATATACTACATGTACATACGGGAATTATTGTTCAATAATCAAATTTAGAAAATGGTGAAACTTACCGATTCTGTCGAATGATGAATACACCTCGCACATGCGAAAAGATCAACACATCCCAAATACGAGTGAAAAACTATTATGGCGTGCTGCAAGTTCTAGTGTGGAAGATAAACATATATTTCGCTCGAGTGCAGTCTGATCTTTAGTTTTTGTTAACGGATCAATGATTTCCCTTGTTATTATAGCCCTACTGTATTTACTAGTATAAATAAAATGATATTAGTTTCCTCATGCACAATTCATAGTAGGCCTATACAGGAGGCGCTGGTGCTCAGTCGCTCCACCATCAGCCCTGACTCTGACAATGACTAGAATATTGCGGCGCTCACGGTATTCAAAGAATTCTTTCCTACCAGGCACCCATATATTCAGGCCCCTAACTGCACGCCACTGTGTGTTTGACATTTGGTTTGAACTATAGACTTGAACGTGCCAGAAGCATTCATGAATAATTCATTTTGTTAGATGCTTCCTTCAGCCTACATGCTTTACACGAAAAGTTAAACTAATAAAGCGAATCAGCATTCAGCACGTAGACACGAAAAGTCAAATCTATTATATCTTATTTAAACATCTTGAACAAAAGGTTCTCTTAGGCAACTTGATAAGTTGCACCAACTAATGTATACGAATTAATTTGCATTATACATAGCTGGTAAATTAATAAAATTAGTAGAATAACTAATTGGTGAATTCATTGTAATTATATGTCAGAGCAATCGTGGGTCACGATTTGGCAAAACAATGATGTGAACTACAATTAAAATAAATCTTCGATATCATTAAAACTCTGTGCTTCTGTCCACATCTTTGGCTAGCAGCTTTCACCAAGTTTACCAGAAAAGAAAGACATGATATACCCTGCCAGGGAGAACGTGAACGACTTTGACGAATGATGCAAAGTTACTCTATACTTAGGACCAACATTTGCCATTTGTATTATGATTTATGATAAACAGAGGACTGGTATTGTAGCCGCATTTACACAGGCACTTTGGCAGATTCTGAATTCATACGAAAAACACACGCATTCGTTCACACTATGTACTTTTATATGTTTTTGTTTCACTAAACATTTATTTCATCTTTTCTATAAAAATTCGTCATCATCATCATCATCATTATCATTATTGTTGTTATTATGATTATTATGATTACATTTATTTAATTATTACGTTGTTATGTTTGTGCTTTTTTGTTTGATCTTGTTCCATTGTCTAGTAGTGTTCTTGTATAGAGATTGTATTTGATGCACTGCCTCGTTGGAATATTCCTCCTCTACAGGCAGAGGACATGCGTATTTTCAATGTTACACATGATCTTTGATTTTCTTTTACTCAAAATATATATGATTTATATTTTTAAAGTGAACTAAGCTGTAATGGATGTAATCAATACCTACAGTGTATAGTTACTGCAGGTAGATGTAGACATGTCAGAACCAATAATTAGTAATTCTCGACTTGGTCTAAAGTTCATACCCTCTCTCTCTCTCTCTCTCTTATTCTGTCTCTCTTTCTTTCTCTTTATAAAGTTTGACGTGGTAAATAAATCTATGACAGTACAAATATTTTGGGGACGTGTACATTTAATTGCACTTTAATTAACTACTACACAAAAAGGGAAACACAATGATATAAATGGTCTGACTTTCACGTTTTAACCGCTGATTCCAAAATTGAGTAAACATTTAAATAATTTCAATTGCTCTTATCCTATAAATTGATAAAGATAATCTTGGTTTACATTAAAATTCAAATCATAAATCGCATCAGGCCAATTGTGATCGCATTTTTTAGTGTTTAAATTGCGAACAAGTTTATAGGCTAATAAAGAAATATCTTCACAGAGGAATATGTTTTGTCCGTTTTCTTCCAATAATGGACGGACGAAAGGAAAAAGCTACACCATATAGCAATAACATTTTCAGGCTAAAAAACGGATGGAAATGTGATAGAATGATTCAAACTTTAACCTTTTTTTAAGGGGAATATCATCATCGTTTTATACGAAGGGAAAGGGTGGGGGGGGGGGTAAATATAAACTGCTCTATGCAAGCAAATTTACAAGCTTTGTTCGCACACAAAACTACATAACAGGGCCAAGGTTCTATTTTTATGCTATTCATATATCGAGTAGTTGAGTTCATGTAGGCTTGTGTGTGACATCACATGACTACATTTAATAATATATCATTCAGATAATTACAATATATTTCTATAATATATATTATGTACATACCGTATTCTTCTGTTTTCTTTTCTACATCACACATTTTATTAAGTACATGAAATTAAAGTGTCAAGCTGGTTCTCTGTTTAGAAACACGTTTGAATGCGGGTCCGTTCTTCTTACGCTAGAAATTCATAGAAGTACACAGTAATAATACTAACCAATAATCAATTAATCAAAGCAAAACAATTACTTATTGTAGCTTTAGAGTAAATATATCTATGAACAAAATAATGGTTGCTTTTTAAGATGATGAAGAGCTAGAGAGGGCGATGTGTAAGCAAGTGAGCAATCAACTCGGGGAAAAAAACGAACCCGCATTCAAATGTGTATTGAAATACTTACAGAATTATAAGACTACGTCACTCACTCAACATATATTTTCTTTTGCACATACATATTAACACACATGCAATGAGTCCTAAAATAGAGATTCAGATTAAATCTTTGATGTGTTTACACTATGAATTTGTATATATGTTTTTGTGTAGAACTCATCTGAAAGAAATTAAATAAAACGCGTTATCATATTAAAAGAATAATATCCTGACTTTTGTACTTTTGTAGATTTCTTTTTAATTGTGTATGCATGCTTTGTACCTCAAGTCTACTTTAAATTGAATATATTGGTTAACTTAAACGCCTGGCTGAATAGTTTAAATATAAGCCTTGATCAGTCATTAATAATTAAAGCGCGTTTACTTAATCATAATTAATGAATTGTGAATAGCAGGATAAAATTTGTTTAATAAAACAATAATAACAAAACAAAACATCATCCCATCTATTCCCACTTTCCCTTACCCTCCCCCCTCCAAAATAAAATCAAACCCCCTACCCCTCCAGAAAAAAATATATATACACGTATGTTGGTATATATATATATATATATATATATAGTCCATTGACTGAACGGTGACGATTGCAGTCCACAAAGAAATATTTACGAGAACGTTAAAGACTATGTTCTCATATTCAATTTAGGAGTTTTGAAAAAATATTATTACCAAAACACGAGTGCATCGAAGGTAAAAAACGGCAATAACAAGTTGATTTGACAATGTGTGTCCACTGAAAGATACACGTCAAAGTTAATAACCGAAATCCACTTTTCTGTGATACAGTCAGTGAACAAAAATTCATGATTTGGGTGAAAAGTATCATACAGAATCACCCAATCTACAAAGATGACCGAAACGTAAATAAGTGAGCATTCTGCCATTATTTTGTCATCAAACATGCTATATACCTTCGTTGTTATTGAAAGTAGTATTGGTAATAGTAATAAAAAATAAAGATAATAATGATACCAATAGTAATACAACAATAATAATGTTATTATGTTGATAATAATAATAATAATAATATTCATGATAATAACAACAATAAAGAAAATAATGATAACGATAAACGACAATAACAAACGATAATTATAATAATAATAATAATAATTATGCTTAAAATAATAATAAAGATAATAATGACAATGATAATGATAAACGATAATAAGAACGCTAATAACAATAATAATAATAATAATAATAATAATAATAATAATAATAATAATAATAATAATAATAATAATACTAATGATAATAATAATAACAATAATAACAATAATAATAATAATATCAATAATATTAGTAATAATGTTTAAAAATGATAAAATGACAATAATATAATGATCGTAACAATAATTACGATAATGGTGATAAATAAAATGATGATAATAAAATTAGCACTGTTGAACATAGCTCAGAGTATTCAACTGTATAATAAAAGTGCTGAAGGTGTGCCGTATTTTGATATACGAAAACACCACCATTTATAAATAGAAAGGAAAAAAAAAGAAGATGACATACATTTTGAATATAAACAAGACTCAATTTGAATAGTTCATAAATCATCTTTGGTCCTTATGTTCAACATTAAGTTTTTATTAACCCGATTTCCAGTTTATTCCAGTCTAATCCACAAAAATTAAAGAAGCTCGTGCCTCTTTTTTATTTACAAAAAATACGGCTTATCGAATGGATGAGAAATTGTTAAAAACTGCAAAAAATAACCTTGCGTAGGTTTACATTAGAAAAATAAATTACAATAAAAGAAAATAGTTGTTAACAAGTTTGTTTTACAAGTTTGCTCCAACACCAAATTGGACTGGATATTAAAAGCCGTGGGAATAGTCCTTAAAGATTTTGTCATTTCGTGGCCCCAAACCCTGCTCTTATTAAGAACATAATATACATGAAGCATTTTGAAAAGCCCTATTTTCAAGGTAAGTGTATTAGGGTCTCATGATTAAAATAATATAAGAGATTATATTTGTATTTTTTTGCTGTTCTTACATAAAGCACAAAATTTCCTCTTCTTTCCTCGAGAAAATTGGCGATTTCTATTAATGTTAATTATTCTTCGCATATTTGTTTTTTTCCGTTTTCGTTTCATGTTCCAAAACTTAAATTAGCTGTGCTTATTTTAATTATTGTACCCTGGATTATGACTTTGGTGTCTGTAATACATTTAGTCTTCTGCTTCTTTCGTGAGTAAATCCTTCAGCAAGGTCAAAAACTTTTCGTCTGAGCCGAACCTTTTCCAGGATTGGATGTATGATGGTGCGGATGAGCTGTAGTCGTCGAACATGGAAGACACCTCTGAGTCATATATACCATTTCCCTGGCCGTTATACGGATATTGATCACTGGACGGTTCAGCTTCGTCGGGGTAGTCTTCCTGCATCTCTACGGCTGGTTGTTGTTGTTCCTCCTCCTGTTGCTCCTGCTTTAGTTGTGCCTTCATCATGGCTTCTTTCATTGCCTGGTCGACTTCCTCTTCTTCCCGTTGATCTATGATGGTCTGGTTGTGGGCTGCTTCTTCGGCTTCTTTAGCAAGCTGCTCGACCTTGACCTTGCATTTCGACCTGGCGTTGGCTTCTTCAATGTAAGATGCTGACTGGGTACCATGAAGCACTAGAGACCACTCAGTCAGAGTGGCGGCGTGTTCGGAGCCATCTACCATAGCAACCTCTAGGGTCCATTCTCCACGTGGGTCCTCGCCCCAAGTGTGGGTGGTCATGAAAGGCCAGTGCTGAAAGCCATCCTTGTTGTCGTCATCCTGAGGTCGTGTGCTGAGCAGAATGCTTCGGGTACCCATTGGGGAGGTCAGGTTGAGCGTAACATCTCCACGGCGACTGCTGTTGATCGTGATGATGGCTTGAGTGTGCTCCAGGTAGCGGACATGGCCCTTCTGCCCAGTGCAAGCATCGGTGTTAAGCTTCAGAACCAACTTATCTCCAGCTCTCACAGTGCTGTGTGGAAATATACACAAAAAGGGAATATTAATTAATTACCCCATTTACCATGTACGATCTACCCATTATTGAAAGAGTCAAACTGAAATACGGAAACCTAAAACAAAAACAAACACATTAATTATGAATAGATGTTGAACATTAATTTTTCCTTGTACTGTATGCTCACCTTGATCCGTTCCACTTAGCTCCGGTGCAATGGAATCTCTCCGGGGCAATGTCCCATTTCTCGGCCAGCTTGACCATGGCACCAGCATCAAGCACACCAAACCCAAAGAGATGGTTGAACTCCAGACCAACACCATTGCACTGCCAATCGTAGTTCTCGTCATAGAGCTGGTTCTTGTGGGAGGTCAGGACTGTTAGATGTTGGATATCACGCCAGGTCAGATCAGGGCTGCAGATGGTACAAGGAGTTTATTGGTTTAGGCTGTATCTCCATAACAGTGCAATCAAGTCGACTGCAACATGTTCTAAAACAATCACAAACCGGCCGAAGGATACAACGTATCGCTCATTAAAATATTCTGCAGTCTGAAGATTTTGCAATGATCTCAACCGTAATAATCTTTACATGATTACTAGAGGCAAATGTTTCAGACTTTAAAACTACTTTTAAAACATGGAAACATTTTCTGATTACACTCATTTTTTATAATGGCTTTGCTTCTCTCAGTTCATCCAAATCAATTTTCATCGATCATCGAAAACGTTTTTTATCGATTAAGTTATGGCTTATGCAGTATTTGATGGTTTGATGGTTTGTTTTAGCTCGTGTATTAAGACAGTATAGAAAATGAAATCATACTTTGCCTCAAGAGCAAGGGCGAAGACTCCTGCAGCCTCGGGTGCAGCAGCAGACGTTCCAGAATGGGACAACGTGCAGTTTCCGTACAGATCAGTAGTGGCCTATGACAATGAAATTAATATAATGATTAAATGTTGAACAAATCATGAAGCGTTATTCAAGTATCCCCATGGGCAGCAGTATAGCATCATTTCAAATTTCAAAAGGGTTTGATTAATTTCTTACCGTAAATCTAAAATGAATTAATCGAAATACAAGTCAAACATTGAAATTAGATATATAGGCCTATATAATACACAAAAAAGGTTTCGATTGCATTTGCATAATAAAAAATTAACCAAATAAAATCTTAAAATTTGTATTTTATTTCATTTAATTCCTAAAGTTTAAAGCAATACTTGTGGTGAATTCGCTCCAAAGGACTTTTTTGTCACAATCTTTTTATCAATTGCTCGTGGATTTTATGTGAGGACTGAAAGCACCGAAGCACACTTTATCTATCATTTATGCGCCATGTCAATGTACTTGGTCTTCCCCTCCTTCGACTTTGATAACAGTTCTGCCAACAGGACTCTCCTGATTCTCAACATCTTTCATCACGTACAATTGCGAGAACATAACAGGACCAATCAATAGCCAATGTATTATTGCAGGACGTGAAAGGTTAGGGGAAACGAAACCCAATAAAACAAGGTTACTTACCACACCGGCCTCAGGGTGTCGGTTCTTCCTTCCATTGCTGAAGGTTGAAGCCAGTGTTGATGAGCAAGACTCGTCGTAGAGGGCTGTCCTACCGTCATTGATGGCACTGTTGATAGACACTGTCCACATGCTAGATGCATATCCGTCGCAGTTACAGTCATCCATTGGACCACCGTCTCCAGAAGCCCACACATAGATGCTACCCTTTCCGTTTCGGCCCTGAACAGAAAAAGTCAGGAAATTGTGAGGAACTTTGATGATTTAATGCAACAAAGATCTTGTTTGATTGGAAAATCTTATTAGCGGTTCACTGGGCAACTTTATATTAGATGCAGTAATAATTCATTGAATAATTATTTGTGAATAAATCCTACGTCTTGCGATAAAGATATTTGTTTGTAGTTAATTGAACAAAAGAAGATTGATATCTTAAATCAACGAATAAATAACATGATCATGATCATGATGATAATAATCATTATTATCACAATGACACTTACGTTGTTGACGCCATTGGCAATTGCATCCAGAGTGAAATCCCTAGGACCGTCCACTGTTTTACCGTTGTCCTGTGGTCCCCAACTGGCACTGTAGATATCTACCTCTTGAGGGAGATGACTCATGGACGAAGCTTCAATGATATCTGTCATGTACGGCTGGTCTAACATACGAATACCTATATCGAGGATTTAAAGTGAAAATCAATCAAAACTATTTGTGAATAAATGTGGGTTAAAAATATTTGGTATATAACAATACTCTCGAGGTCTTTAATATTGCCGCGAAAGTGTCTTTGAAAAGCACGTATTTGTCAGAAATGTCATGTTTAATTTTTGTTTTTAGTTGTTAGATTTTTGGTTTATTGGCCCCTTCCCCTCCCCCATGGGATAATCAGGTTGTGTATTTTAAGCTTAAATGAGAGTGTAAAGCATTAATTGTATCATGCTTCTTCAATATGTGTTTTTGACAGGACGAAATGACTTTAAAAGAGTTAAAGGATATCAAAATGTATTATGTTATGTTCGAACTGGCAAACGGCATTCAAATTTATGTATACGCTTTGATAATGTTATTGACGAGTACGACTAACATAATACATGTACTTCAGTAGTCCCTTTGAATATAGGTAGTGTTGTAAGTTGTTGTGGACCCTCTCGTGTGTAACCATTTAAAGGGATTGGGTATCTTTGCCTCAGATTCTAAACAAAATCCTTGATTTTGCTCATGCTGCAATCATGATTATACACATTTAGGTCTGTCAGGAATCCAATGTTGATCGATCCGATCGCCTGTTTGATTATCAAGATATTTATGATTGGAATTTGAAATTTCAAAAACTGTTTTCCCAACGGTTTTTATAAGACTAAAGTCTATTGGGAAAATGAGTATGGAAAAAGTGGTCACTCAAAGATTTTTTCTTTTTTGAAGCATTTTCTTTGAGGGCTTCAATGTTACACTATATCAATAAAACCACGCAGGGGCATGCATCTCAGATTTGTAAAACTGCCAACATTGTTAAACAATGCCTTTAATATAGGATTATCACTACAATATATCTTTAAGGTCGATGGGCTTAACTCATGTATATCAGTGATCGTCCTTTGTAACCTGCCCCCCCCCCCTCCTCTACCCCTGCCCATCTCCCTTAGGTCCATACATACAATTTGAATACCTTTGTGAACTGGCGTATTTTGCAATATGTATCTAGGGATATCATTGTACTGTCGGTTAGGCAAACTACATGTATAATGAATGACCCTATTTAGGCATATTCCCCTATTCATTCCAGAAGTAAGTATCGCACCACTCCCTATTTTAAAATGCCAGATAAAGCGATGGAAAACACTAATATTATTTTGCGACTGATTGCTGGAAAAATGCACACACGACAAAAAGACTAAGCAAATTAGGCATATAATTATGGCAGCTGATAAAGCGACGTGCAGTCACTGAAAGAGCTCATTCGAGAACAAAGACTCGTGGGAGAGGGAGGGGTGGGGAAGGGGGTCGTACGGCCAAAATGTGTGTATTGTGAATGCATGAAGTATTTATACTTCCCTTCTGTTTTTTTTTGTGTGCATAGACCATCTATACAACAAGGAAGTATATTCCATTAACCATGTGGCTTAATAAAGCTGTAATATGGATTAAAGACTTACATTGTCATACGAATATTTTACAAGCTATAGCTGATAATGGGGCTTACATTTAAAAGTACAATACGTGATAGATAACTGATATTGTCATTTACATGACACACGATTTAATACCACAATACTGATAAAAATGACATTTTAAGCGTAAATTGAATAACTATAAATTTCCATTCAGAAAAGAAGCTATGTCTCTCAAGTGAAATGACGTAGGAGACGATTAATCAAGATTAAAAAACAACATTATTTTGATATTATGATGCAAAACAAGGACATTTTGAAAATCAAAAGGCATTGGAAATATAAACATCCAATGTCGTTATTCGTTTGACAATTCAATATTTCTAACAATGCAGAAGTCCCAAGAGCATGTTTGTTTAATAATAATCGGTTTAGCAGATGAGAGCAATTACCGTTGGAATTCTACGCCTATAAATACTATACCTGCAATCTTGGAGTTGTATGCGATGCCCACGCCGCAAACTCCGTTGTTGGCAACGGCAGAAACCTCTCCAGCACATCGCGTGCCATGGCTGTGTTCAAAACAGGAGAAAGAGATGATTTGATTTGAGTTGAGATACGTTGTTTTTATTGATTTGACATGATTTGATTCGATTCGATTCGATTCGATCTGATTTAGTCAGATCTGATTTCTTTGTGTTTTCAAGCACACACATTTTGAATCATAACACCGGTAGCAGGGACAAAGAGTGTCACTCTATAATGAAATAACAAAATGGATTTCTACATTTATCGTTATTTTTTATAATTGAATTTGAATTGTGATAGTAAACTTCATTTATATACATATACGTGAACAGATCATTTCAGCTAGTGCTGCTGGACATAACCGGACATTTTTTCATACAAAATAATGGCACTATAAAGGAATTAAATGGCAATTGAATGAGGGCGCTATTTGAGTTGCTGCCGAACTTGATTTTTTAGCTCTTGTACAATTTGTGATTTTAAGTTTGGGATGGTCAGCGTCCAGTATATGTACGAGCACTGACATGGTACCGAACTCAATATTATTATTGTTTTCATTATTTATGATCCATGTACTATGTATTGTTTATATCTGGATTCATTTAAAAGTGTTAAAGCATATAATTATATTTATATGTCTATGGAATTATTTTTACCTTGTAAACTCACTTGCATCAGCCTCCAGCTGTATTGTTGAATATTCGAATAAAACCTTATCAACTCAAATCAAATCAAATTCTTCCTCGGGGAATAGCGATACATGTAAGCTGTTTATTACACCTCATGGTATGTTTATTGCCATTTGGTCTGCAACCAGTTCGTCTACCACCCGACTGGTCTACTATAGCATACTCAGTGAGGAAGGGGTGTTATTGTTTCTCCTACGAGGAGCTTCAGCAAATTAAATCATAAGAATAACAACAGTCGGGATGTAAGAGAATGGCGTCAATACATACCGGAGACATGGGAGAAGAAGGAAAGTAATCTACATCACATATTCAAACTTGTTTATGTATTTCACAATATTTGAACCATTGTATTATGTTCATAGTTATCCTAGAGTCTTTTACCGTTTCTACTCTAATAGAGGTATTGTATCAACAATTTCTCAAAATCTCTGAATTTGCCATTTGTTTCCTTTTCTTGTGGGTAGGAAGGGGTAATGTCCTCGTGTTAAAGCCTTACCTGTTGAACCAGTCATCCGTGTATCGTGGATAGGGCAGTGGGTCGTTACTACTAAAGTCGTAACTAGCATTGGCGTTGAAGTTAGGAGCGATATCAGGGTGAAGATAATCAATACCTAATGGGGGAAATGAGATGTACACATCATTAATTATTCATGTATGTCCTACACAGTCATTCGTGATTTAATAAACGCAATACTCTCTTCCAATGAAATTACGTTTAACATGTTATTTCAAACTTTAATTCTGATCTTTGAAAATATTAAGAATTGTCCGTTTAATGACAATCAGTCTTTACGAAATTGATACAAGTCATTTGAAAAAAATATCATGAATAGAGAAACTCATGAAAGAAGAGAATAAGTAGTAACGATACTTGTATTTTATATTGTGTTCAGTGCAATTTGCAATATTGTTATCATTACCCCTGGCCACTGGAGTTTAAGTATGCATACAGAATAATGTGGATCAGAGATAAACATTTATTCGAATTTTACGCTTGTGCCCACAATTTTTATATAATTATTTTCTTAAGCATTCAGCCTATGCTTGATACTACAATTGAGTGTGGACTTATTTCTTTAACTAGTTGAATCATTGATCTACAAAACAATTCAATATTATATGAAGTAATGTATAAATGCATACTTGTACCAATATATATTTTGTTTCCATGTATCTTTCAAATTATTTTTTCCATATTTGTAATAATTATTATGCTTATGTATTGTAAATCAACTTTTCCTGAATCAATTGAATGAAGTTTTCTTATTAATACAAATACAATCTCAAAACATACGACTGTTAGGTTACAGAACATATTCACATAAAAATCATCTAAATCATTGTAACAAAAATTCCGTACATCCGGTGAAGTTCTTACCATCATCCATAATAGCGATAGTGACACCCTTTCCTGTGTATCCGGCCTTCCATGCTTCTTCTATATTGAGATCTAATCCTGGCCGCCCGTCTGCTTGTCCAATATTTTTCTGTAAGATACAAAATAAAACGAATATTTTAATGAGCCTTTTTTGTGTACTTTGGCACATTCATTCGTGAAATTTTGTGATAAAATATAGCTGATTGGAATTCAATTTTGATTGAATAAAAATTTATTCAGATTCATCTTCCTTAATGACGCATTTGCTGACCACCTGAGCACAAGTCACGTGATCAGATTGCGTGCGGTGTCGTGTAGCTTCCGCGAAAAAGCCAGTCGCATGTATACCCGTCATAATTGATTATAATTGATAAGAAAGGGCACTCTCCTGAAAGGTATTCAATAAGCAAAGCACAAAAAGGTATCGAAATTCAGCGACTCGTCTAGGTTTACAAATTCTATTCCAGAGCTATTCCATCGGGAAAACCATGAATTTCAATCAGAAAGAAACTGGAAAAAGAGACAGCGAGAGAGGGGGAGGTGGGAGAGAGAGAGAGAGAGAGAGAGAGTAAAGAGTCTTTGGACAGCAGATGGAGGGATTTAAATCATCCTTCATCCATAATGCAGCGATGAAACACGGCGTACATCGCCTACATCACTACCGATCAAGGTGTGAATATCTGTGACACCATACAGGCATGTTCCTACTGTCAGGATAATGACAAAAAAAACGTGCTACAATAGTGCACTTTCCAAGCGCTCTCAATAACTATTGCAAACTTAAAATAATCATTACTCAAAATGCATCATACAAAACAGTGCGGTCTGAACTAGCAGGTGTTGGATCTACAAACATTGTTAGCTCAACAGCACAACGTGGCAGTGGAAATCAACCCTCATGTATTCCAATTCTATTCCAGTTCCGATGTACTTTATTCCCATTATGTGCAAGCCTTATGTTTGCCTGGTCTTGCACTCGTGATCATCTTATGAAGTATGCATTGCAACCAGAAATATCATATCACTAACATTTCCTAGTTTAAGCTCTCTTTAAACTCACTTGAGTTGGAAGGCTCGATTTATCTGCAAGCCCCTGTCAGTGAGAGACGGATGGGTAATCGGTATTAATGTAACCGTCGCCTCTCGCGATGGCGTTTCGAATTAAAACGAGACCCAGATTTTAATGAAACAAAAGTGATCAATCTGAATGAGATGACCTTTAAACGTTGAAATCCCACGCAACCATTACCATGACAAGTGCATTTAGGAATCCTTTCCATTGAGTGAAACTGAAATGAGTTCCTTTGCCAAGAATATGATGTTAATGTATTTTAAAATCACCAGAGTAAATCTGATTAAAGAATGAGAATTTTAGGAAAGTCAGGATGTATATACAATACGTAGATTGGTTATTTTTTTGCTCATAGCAAACTCTTTTAGTGTACTTTTTAATCATTAATAATATTTTCACTTAAAGAAACAATTTACTGTGTATCTGTACTTTGAATGATTGTTGTTGCTATTGTATACAAAAAAAAACAAAAAAAAACATAATAGAATGAATATCATCCAAATGATAAACTCATAGAATGAATATTGTTTTTATCTTGGTGAAAATAATTTATATAAATTAATAGAAAACAAATTATATCAAAATTTGAAACTGATAGGATTAAGATGCCTTTTCTGTTGTTAATATATTTTTTACAAAAATAGAGGCTATACAAATTCAGCGGATGGGAAAATCATGACATTTATTTTTGTATTTAATAATATTCGTGTTGTTCATTTAAGAGTCAAGGTTGAGATCCATTCTTATAACAATTCTATCACTAAGCCCTGATTATTATCGCATCTATAATAATTGCAGTCATGATTACTTTCCTTTGCTGGTGTGAAATGATATACCCAGTTGATTATCATACCTAACCCTGGAGACTGAGCCCTGTCTGACTGACCTTCTGAAGTTCACCCTCTAGCATGACTATGTAAGTGCTTCGTGGGTTCTCAAGAGTTTGGCGTGTTGTTTTGCTCGTGACTGCGGTGCTCTACTTGATGAAGTACCCCTTTGAACCCCTTCATACCAGCCTATGGGACTGACTGAATCACTCTCTCCATGTGACATGCTAACTAACTCTGCTACCACATGCATGGACGGGTAGATTAACATAATCTGGTAAGATTGGATACCGTGATTTGGTGATTAAGCTCTTGATAATATTCATTCTTCAAGCTCATAATGTATGATAGGGACATCGCTTCAATATGAGCGAACACAAATCTACAAAGCACACGCCCACGTAATCCCCCTCCATCCCTACCCACACACACATTAATTAACTAATTATTTCCTGTTATTGCCAATCATACGATTTGACGATAAACTGCGTATTAAACTTAAGAGAAAAATTATCAAAATAAAATATATTTGGATTATGTAGTCGCATCCCATAGCATAACATGTCCTCAGTTTTTACATGAAGGACTATCATTTCTGATGTTTCATTTATAATATTAAAAAAACACGAAATAAGGGCAGCCACCACGGAATATTCAGATGAAAAATTAAAACAAAAATTTCACACCACCTGTGGGCAAAAGTGTTGAGGCAAATATTAAACAGGGAGGGTATATGGAAATTGTGAGGATGAGCACTGTAGTTCAAATATTTCTTGAAAATGACTTATCAAATTTAGAATTCATGACCCATTCTGTCAATCCAGTTGAAATCAATTTGAATGAAAATGTTTTCTTTTTTTTGACAGTTGATTAGGGACACAAGAATACATCTTCGACAAAAGGCTTCCGCCTGTGCCCTTTGCATGACGCTAGTTCTGTCGGACGTTACCGGGGGAATATCTCTCGACATCAAAAGTTAGTCTTCCTCTTCTCTCTATGTCAGCCAAGCCCTTGGCCCTTTGTTTGTTCAGGTTGCTGTAATGCATGGTGTCAATACATAATTATACCGCATCGTCGCTAGCATCACAGTACGACGACGAAACTATGAGCCCGACTGGCTTTACCACAATGAAGCGGCAAGTTCATGATATTAAAGTCATGAGCACACTTTCTTGAAACCATCAATTTTATAATAATTTCCCATTAAACAGCATTGCTAACAATATAACCACACTTTTTTTTTACTTGATGAATTTCATGGAAACCATTCCGTTTTTAGTTTCATATTAAATCTATAGAGTTCCATATATCTTGTGAAATACACGTCTTTTGGGGTTGTAATAAGACCTCGTAACAACACAACACAGCCTCCGGGTGATCTTGATATTTACACCAAACACAAACATCTATTATCATAGATCCTTTCTTGTCTCTTGAATAGAGTGCATCATCTAGATTACAGTTCTTGTTGATTAGAAATCAAACCGCATCATCTAGGTCTACCTCAGTCGTACATCTCCAACTTTCTACGCACATAATAATCCCTCTGAAATACTGACATTTCTATAGTTAGTCCAGTACATACTCACTTGCATATCAGAGAGATGATAAGCATTATTCAATAGTTATACTACATTAAATAAAGTCGGTTTCACAAAGCTTCACCTGAAAATATTTGAAAGGTCTAGAAGGATAACTATAGCGTAATATTTGTTTTCGATATGAGCCCATTATCATTTATCATTATAATTAGTAACATCAATTACATTTCAGGTAACAAGAATGACAATAGATACTTACAATAAACCATTGTTTTGAGAGAAGTGGGTCGTTAAAGGGGGCATCTTTCCAAACTTTGACTGGTTCCTCCGCGTGCGGTTTTACTTCGGGAAGATCAAAATTCTCGTATAATTGTTTCAGGTCTTTGAATCCACGCTTGACTCGAACGTATCCTTCTTGTTGGACGACACGTTTTACCTACATAAAGCAGAAAAAACAAAGGATCTGTAAATAATATACATGTAAAATAAGGTTAAAAATGATATTACAGAAGTTAATAATAATTCTTAACGGCGCTTTTCAGGACACTATAGTTTACCAATATATTTTGGAGGAAAAGATATGCACATCTTCCATAACGAGAGAAAATACTAATAATTAGTAACAAAATGATGGGGCAATGTTCTGAACTATGGCCCTAAGGGAAAAACATGAACCAAATCACGAATTTTGCATAAATCATATAATCATAATTATCATGAGCTGAAACTGAAAATCAGGAAATATTAGCTGAAACTCTCAAGAATATGCTAAAGAATATTTGGGTATTGTGTATCTGTAAAGCGCTTAGAGACATTTGTATTAAGTGCTATATAAAAGCGGAATATTGTTATTATTATTATTATTGACAATTTCTTTCCGTTTCGAAACTTAGAATCCATTACTATGAGGTCTTGTTTTCTTTCTATTTTTTTCTTTTTTCGCCCTCGGAAAGAGCTTTCTGAATCAGGTCAATACCAGGCGATAGAGGGTTAAGTCCATATTTGGCATTGACCAGGATGATTTCAAAATGAAAGTTTTGAACCTCCAAACAGCCATGTTTAATAGACCCATTAATTTGTTATTCCGAGATTCATTTTCAATCAAAATCATGAAATTAAGACCGCTTCAAAGAATGCCGTCTCTTGTACAATTGAAGACTGATGATGATATTCTCAAATTTATGAAGATGATCATTTTGAGTTAATGAGAATTGCCGCTTCAGTCTCTACATTTACTCCACTACTTCTGCATCCGGATTGAATGTTTCTAGTAACAATACAATCTAGCAAACCACAAACTCCAAGCGTCCAAACGTCATCCGAGGTCATTATCCAGTTTGTGAAGTCAATCAAAAATCTATTATTTTGAGCTCAAGATATTTCCTTGGCCCCCGCAGAAAGCTTTCTGAATTTTCCAGTCAAATCAATAACAAGCGATAAAGCGTGAACTCCATATTGGTTTTGACGGTGACACCTTCAAATATTGCTTTTTCATGATGCGCTCACTTTATTTGAGCCGCTGAAACTAGCTAATGCAGGCCTGCGAATCATCCTGGAATACTGTGATAGATGAATGTTCTTCAGTTGAGAAAGATCGTGAGGAGAAAGAGACGGCATTGCGAATATGTTATGACCCCCCCCCCCCCCTTTTCTCTCTCTCTCTCTCTCTCTCTCTCTCTTTCTTTGTCTCTCTGTCTCCCCTTTTCTCTCTGTCTCTATCTAGTTGTTTTTCACCTCTCTCTCCCTATTCCTAACTCTCTCTTTAGGTACAAGGTACAGTAAAGGTCTTATAGGTCGTAGAAAAGTTGATAGATAATTGAGGTCATTTTGCTGTGGAGAAGTTGTAGTCCGTTGTCAACTGGTCAAAAAATGGGGCTGTCAGAACAAATTTGCATATTAAGCAAAACATTTTAACTAGCACAGATGGTTTGGGGCGTTTAAATTTGCTGTTAAGGGTTTCAAAAGATGTACATTATCAGGAACGGTTAAAGGTTGATCATGTTTCTATTGTAGACTACGTGTTGAGTAGCCAGACGTAGCGCAAAATGACATTAAGTTTACAATAAGTGTAAAATAAAATTTGTTTATTGGGCCTACAATATCTATTAATCATCTCTAATAGCATGTGTTTACAAAGACAAGGAACGCATATCCCCAATGCAGTTTAATATTTCTTAAGCTATTACTTAAAGATCATAAATATGACCAAAATCATCATTACTAAATGGCCTGAAAGACCCATTTTAAAAAATGAAACAACGTTCATAGTCTTAGTCATCAGATTCTCTTTCCAAAAATCTTCACAAAATTTTCAAAAATAGAATTTTTTTCCAATATTGACAACGTCCTTGATTGAGTGTAAAGCACTCAAATTTGATCTCATGCACATCGTGCGAATTGTAGACGACTGAGACAACCAGGGAGAGATCACCAAGCAGCTAGCTGGAACAAATCGATCTTTACTCTTGGGACGGTATCGTATTCTATGTGATTTAACACTGGTCATCAATCTGGGCTTATTTGCTTGCTCCAACAGGCGAATCTTGACGTAGCGGTTAGGAATTAGCATAATCATCTCGTATTTCAGTGCAAAACGAGATAATGTAGGGCAGATGGAGTTTTCAGGACAGGGAAGAGCACACACCTCATAATCCACATTTGATTAACCAAATATAAAAGCACGATGGACATAAGGAAATCATATGAAACGCCAATTTTTAACTGCAGGAATTTCGTTCTTGCATTAAGACGTTACTACAAACATGAATAAAGAATAGGCCTTTTCCGAACATACATGTATTGTACCACGAGCTACACTATAATTCCTTCCCGTTTCATAAGACCATGAGGGTCTGAAAACATGCCACTGTTATATTTTGTATGTATAATAGCGGAGACGGTAAATATTGAATATGGAAATTATTATGCTTCATAGAATGTCAAAAGGCGTGTTTATGGATCTGGATTCTAGGGATTAGTTTTGAATTCGCAATCGCATAATTTGCATTTTATTCAACTTTTAATTTTAAATGCATATTAGAGCAGACAGACTTCATAATATAAATCCTGCAGAACTGAAATTGGAGTAATTACTGAGAAGAAATCAACATTGAACGACAAATAATGATTGCCCCCGCGTAAGCCGAATCCTATCAAACTGGCTGACGTGTTCACACACACACACCCACACCATACACTAATTTCAAGCGCACATCAATGTTGACTCATGTCAAATACAGTCCCTTACAAGCAAGGGCGTTATAAGAGACGTGACTAGAAATGAGCGATATAATGAAGATCAGAGAAAGATGCAGAATTCTGTCTGTGAGGATTTGTTAACAGACATTACCACAGTACCCAGTTTGGGAGCTGTGAAAAAGAAGAGAGCATTGAAAAGATGAGAGTCTTTTTAACGGAATATTGCATAAAATTATAATCGTATTTGTATTTCTCATGAGAGGGGCTGAAACATTTTAACACTGATTACCCTATACTAATTGCATCACTGGCCTACACTCAACCGATTTCATGCTCTCCCTATCCGGTTTATTCCATATGTTAGTAGATGTTCTCAATATTCTTTAAGACTTCCATATGGCGTCGAAATGGCGTCGAAATGGCGATGCGCACTCTTACGACAGTCCGCCGGCATTTGTCGATGGTACATAATGTATACCGCTGTGAATGTGATGGCTGCACTGCGGCGGGTATAGTGTAGAAAAGCTAGCTGTACAGTGAAAAGTAAGGCCAAGTCACACATTAATAGTACATAAAGGTCATCATATATTCGGTTATAGAGCTTGCATGTAAAGACTAGTTTGGCGCCCAATCACCATTTTGTAGCTTGCGTGCCGCGATAGAGGGTGTAATTACACCCTTTTCAAGTAAATTTGACGCCATGTAAGTTTGTTCAATATTTTGTTCTCATTCGTACCACCTGAGGGGAAAATCTGGAATTGCTTCCATTCGTAAAATGCTATGGTTTTCATCTAAACTGTTCAAAAACCTCTTAGTATTAATAGAGATAATGAACATTAAAAAAAGTACTATGAAAGTGGGTCTACGTAATAATATTCTTTGAAGAGTTTGTATTATCCACGATACTCTATGCACAGCATAATACAAGAATTCATAATCTAAGAATTAACAAAGCATCAAGACGCATTGTCAGTACAATGATCATGCAGTCCTGAAGAGAGATCTTCACAATGACCCCGTTATAGTTTAATTTCTTGATACTCTACATGTATTGGGTTTTTCTCACGTTGAACACTTTAGAAGATGGAACGTCATAAATACAAATTGTAGTACGATTCGTGAGGAATGGTGGAAAAAGCTTATTATCACCACAATTCTGACGGCTGGTTCTTATAAATAAAATGGGCTCTGGCATAATCTATGATATAGGCTGTTCTATCTATCTAAGTATCTTTTTCTGGTTCGGAGGTTGATTGCAACATCTTTCCATTTCACTCTTATGCCATTCTGGTGCACTCTGCATTTTTTAATAGGGGGATTGCGATAACGTAGGACATTGACTGCAGTGAATTATCATAACGCTTTGAGCAAGGAAGAGTCAATTGATGGATTTCAGCCATCAAATATTGTATTTGGCGACATTTTAACACCATGTTTTGATCCTGATGACAATGGGACATCGTTTCAATTCACATCCAATTTACACTTAATTAAATGCCGAGAACTATGACGACCGATAAATGGCAGTATAGTACTCATCTGTCGTGTTTGTCAAAGATGATCTATCTATACTTTGTTATATCCACCATGCTTTGCTATGAATACAAAAATCTCCATGGTGCCGACAATATGCGACTATATTCCATGGATTTATTTATATTCATTTATATTATGAATCAATAAAGGGGGAGGGGATAAGTTACTTAGCCTGCATTTATTTTTCTTTAGTTTTAAGAGGGATAAATTTCCTTGAGTTCTTAGCAAAAGATCAGATTCTGGCAATTTTTGTAATCTGTGTTTAAGCTGTTTTAAACACATTTCCCCCAAATGTGACTCTTTAGAATGTAAACCCTTCATAATTACGTTTTTCTTTTTTTATTCGATGCTACGTTTCAGTGAAAAAGAAACTATTTTCATCTTCAAGCACATCTTCTTTCTCCAGATGCTTGTTTCATTTCCTTTGCAAGAGCTCTCGGATTTTAATTTCCTGTGTTGAAGACGATCCTATTTAGTATTTCAAACTCTATAAGATGCGTGACAGCATTGTTATTGCAATCCTATGATAAAAGTAATTTATTTTCTATTAAATACCCCGGAGAATACAATTTGATTTGAATCGAATTTATGTACTTTTCAAAGATGGTGGATACAAACAAAAAATAATCGGTGAAGTGCAGATTATTAAATATAACTATTTGACTTGAATAGTAAAACACAATAAGCGTTTTAAACAGCGGT